TCATTATTTTAGTTTTGGGGATCACACCCAGGGGTGCCAGCAGGGAAGCACAGTCGGCTTCGTGGCGAGCGTCCCACCTCCCTTACCAGCTCTCTGAACGTCTTAACCCATCCCTTCCAAACATACTTTCAAGTATATTCTTAAGACAAAGCTCCTGGAAGAAATCAAATTCATCAGGTGAAGTCAGTATCATGCTCCCTGCTTTCCGAGTTCCCAGGAAGATACTTATTAAGTCTTTGGGAAGCCACCTGGAACCAGTGTTCCCAAGAGCCCTGCATTCGTTCACTCACAAAGCACACACCAGAGCAGCGTCTCCAGGTCAGAAGGGCCACAAGAACAGAGCACAGCCCAGGCTTCGAGACAGCATGGAAGTCAACAGGCGGGCTTCATTCCAGAGGGGTGACAGCCTTGCTGCTGTTAACATGACAGGGTCACACACACTCGGATCCTGTACATGGGTGCAGTCTGGGGGTCACACAGCGCAGCCGGGGATCACTCTCAGCAAGGTGGCCTGGGGAACCAGACACACAGAAACCCACAAGTGAGGCAGGACTCCACCATCGGGGCACACTGCAGGGCCCCCCAAGGCCTTCAGTTTTAAGGGCTGTGCCCTCAAGTAAGTGGTTTACTTTGCTCCTAACTTTACCAGCAAGTCCACTCAAAAGTTCTATTCATTTATTATAGAATATATTCAATATTATTGACTACTGCTGCTTATACTTTCGAGTTAAGAACAAAAGCAGGGAATACCAAACAGTATTTGGCATTTAATTTAGTGTGTTGTAACAAATAGCTTATATGGTTTTGTAATAACCAACTGCAAAAAGCTTCAGAGTATATATGTAAAAAGTTTACTTTAAAATATCCAAATTAGGGCCCAACGTGATAGTACAGCAGGCAGGGTGCTTGCCTGGTACATGGCTGACCCAGGTCCGATCCCAAGCACCCCAAGTGGTCCCCAGAGCGAACACGAGTGGTTTCTGAGCAGAGTCAGCAATAAGCCCTGAGCACTGCCATGTGTGAACCAAAAGCAAAAGAACGAAAGTGTAAGTTTCGGAATGGGGGCAGCAGATTTTCTCCCTTGCAGAAGCCCAGCAGCTGCTACACCTGACCTCCTCTGACATGTAAATATCTCAGCTCCATAACTTGGCATCTCAAAAAAGAAGCCAAGTCACACATGTGACTGTGTGACACCTCCTTCATATTTCACTTATTAACAGCCCAACAGGAGCACAGCAAATCTGGTGGGAAAGTTGCACAGAAGCCCACAAAATTCCATGAGCAAAAAACAGCAACAACAACAAAAGGCTTGACCAGCACCAACCAGCTCAGTAACCCCACAGTTAATGACCTCAGTGACATCACTGTGAGATACAATGATCATAAACCGACTTTTATTGATCTATTTTCTGAACACTCTATTTGCCATTTTGTCTGTGACAAGCAATATGAAGGGTTGGGTGGGAAACTGGGAGCACTGGTGGAAGGAAGGTGGATTTGGTATGAGAACACTGAATGCCCAAAATACCTGTATTATGAACAACTTGGCAAGTCACAGTGCTCCAATTTTTAAAATAATAGTAATAAACATCTAAATTAAACATCGTATGATAGTTTTCAGAGGTACTGTGCAAAATTATGGGTTCACAAAGAACTGTCATCAAATCTGCAGTGATTAATATAAAAAACAATACATATTATTTAAAAAAAAAAAAAGATTGCAGGCCTGTGACAGCTAGAAAAATCAACCATAAATGCAAAACTCTGGTGTTTGGAATGTTTATGGAGTCCACCTCAAGCGCCACTGAGAATTGTCCACAAAGAGAAGTATCCAAACACTGGCCACCTCTCCAGGTTTCTGGTCCAGACGAATGGCACCCCTGCTGCTCCTGACCGTGGGCTCAGAGCCAGGAATGCAGCAGACGTGGTAGGGACATTTGGTAAACAGACGACTCTCAGGGGGCAGGAGGTAGTCAGAGGTCAGAGCATAGGCTCTGCATGCTCAGGGCCCCAGTTCAACCCCACAGTCCTAAGCCCCATCCCAGGCATCAGCACACGTGGCCCCGTTGGCCCCCAAAGCAGTGCTGGGCCCAAGAACCAAACCATCAGGGAGACTGCACTGGCGAGCAAAGCCAGGAGGGGCTCAGAGTACTGGGGGGAGTCCACTGCCTCCCCACCGTCCACCACCAAAGAAAGCTGACACCCTAATTGCCTGAATCCCACCCCACTGTCGGCCTCCAGGCTCATGCTAACAGAAAACTAACCTTTCTGAAGTGATCGAACACATAACTTGGTGATAACCACTGGGCTGTCTGGACTGGATCAAAAGTGTCCTTTGAAGCATTCAACAGAGAAGCTGGCAGAGGAGTCTAGTTTACAGGTGACACGAGGGGTCAGCTCACAAAGGAGCAAAGCGCTAGATGAGATACCCTTCCGGGGGAGGCTTCCCTGCCCCTCCCACAGAGGGTGCCGCACCGGGCCGGGGGACACAGGGGACACGCACTCCCACACACATCAGATCTGTACCATTCTCATCAGGCCGACGTTTGCCCTCAATGAGAGCTCCCACGAGGGCAAGTGCGGTAGTGAGTCTCTGAGGGATACGCAAGGCTCAGCTGAACTCGAGGACCACCCTGGCGCTAAGGGATCTCAGCCTCTACCGTGTGAAGGGGCAGACCCCAAAGAGGAGCTTTTGAGGAGTGACACTGCTCGGCAGCAGGCGTCGGGGCAGACCCAGACTGTGAGGAGCCGAGCCGAGCCGAGGGGGGCAGAGGAAATGGAAAAGCAGCAATCAGTGACGGGCGCATCTAAGGGACCGGAACGAGGAATCAGAACATCAGCGTCAGAAATCTAGCTGAAGGCAGAGAAGGGACGTGCAGCAGTTCAGCCCACGGTCACATCTACAGGCAGGCAGGGCTGGACGAGGAAACGCCAAGGGCTGCCATCTTCCCTCTACCGCTCTAGTCTCTGCACGGCAGCGGGAGTGAGCAGGTGAGCAGGTGAGCATTTATCAGTTTCCCTCACCAGAGGGTGGCTAGAATCTGCTGGGAGGACTCTACCCCACGCCCAGCCAGGCCAGTGGTTACCCCACAGAACAGGAGAAGGGGACTCCAGCATGGGGGACTTTCGGGAGGGTCTGCCAGCACAGGGGAGGGTACTTAGCAACAAGCATACCCTCATGACCCTTCCCACAGCACAACTGAGGCACTGGTGAGGGTGCTGCAGGCCTGGCACGGTTCTTCCCCCCCACCACGTGGGCAGCCTCGGGCACGGTCCCGGAGGCCCTCCTGCACACGGTCTGGATGGCCAGGGACCCCCTGCACTGCAACGCCCAAGGACCAGCACTTCCTCGGAACTTCATGTTTCCCTGACAGTGTGGTTGGCCAAAGGCTGCCCCGAAGGGCCCCAGGGTCTCCTGAGCAGCACTTGGGGCACCCAAAAATAAATAAATAAAACAGGGCTTAGTGTGCGGGGCAAGCTGGCTGTATTGACACAATGCCTCCTTAAGGCATCAGAAGACTTTATTGTTCAGAATTATAGCTATGTTGGGGCCAGAGAGATAGTACAGTAGGTTCAATCCCCCGCACCACATAAAGCCTCCTGAGCCTCACCAGGAGTGATCACTGAGCACAGAGCTAGGAATAAACCCTGAGTACCACCAGGTGTGCTCCCCAAAACAAAGGATTATAGGTAGAGCGTACAGTTACATTGCTACCTGGATGAATTATTTATCTATACAAGAAGAAAGCAATGGAGTGCAGAAGCTGAGGCAGAGGGCCAGACACCCAACTGCCCAGAGTAAACCCACGTCCCACAGGTGACCTCATCGGGTTACCTCTGTGTCCTTCCATTTCCAGTGAAAATGAGGAAACAGTAACATCACCTCACAGGAATGCTGTGAGGATTCAATGAGTGCATAAAGACGGACTCACAGAGGGCCTGTCACACAGGAATGGCTAAGGATTAAGTGTCACCAGGTCAAACATACATAAACGTGCATATACGCACACGCGTGGTATTGAGGGAGGCAGCAGAACCTGGCACTGGAAAACTATGCTGGAAGTGATCTGCTATAAAACTGAGCACTGTTTTTTTTTTCTGAGCAGTGCTCAGGTACTACTCTCAGCTCTGTGCTCAGGGATCACTCCCAGAGGTGCCACGTGGTGCCAGGGAAGGGACCTGGGCCTCCGGCATGCCACGCTCACACCTGCCCCCTGGAGTGCTCTCGCCAGCCTCCTCCCAGAACTCAGCATTGACTCTTCCACTCTGGCCATTCCTGCCACTGGCAGCTCACACCGAGACCAGATCTCTGGGCTTCCAACAGTGAAGAGCAAAAGCCCGTGCAAAAAGCCCGTGCATCCGTTATCTGCAAGAGCCTCTATCTTTTAGGGAGCCTCTGTCTTTAAATCACCTTAGAATTCCATTTGGGGGCTGGAGCGATAGCACAGCCGATAGGGTGTTTGCCTTGCACACGGCCCACCCGGGTTCGATTCCCAGCATCCCATATGGTCCCCTGAGCACCGCCAGGAGTAATTTCTGAGTGCAGAGCCAGGAGTAACCCCTGTGCATTGCCAGGTTTGACCCAAAGAGAAAAAAAAAAAGAATTTCATCTTAATGAAATGGTGTTTTTCTTAAAAACCCTTCAAGCAGGAATTCCACAGAGATACGAAACAACAAAATCGTCTGTCTAGACAGGCAAGAAGGCGATGACTGATCTAAAACCACAGAGAAGGGTCCGATGAAAGCAGAGCCCGGGGGACCATACCGCTTTACCTGCAAGACCTGCTTTCCCGGGGATAATCTGAAGGAGTATTATTCTAATCAAAAGTCCACTTCGAGAGAGTGCAGGGGCCAAGGCTTTCTCCCTTGCGTGCTGCTGACCCAGCCGCTGTCCCCAGAGCAATGCCAGGAGTGGCCCCTGGGCTCAACCCTGCGCCCAGGAGGGCACGGCCCCCAAACACACACAAAGTGTATTTTCCACCTGACAGGAGGAAACTTACCTTTCTTTCTTTTAACAACCTTTTGTAGCCGTTCGATCCAAGTGACAGTAAAGTGATAAGGACGTCCAGAGAAGGGGAAGCAGACGCTCTCCCTGAAACGGCAAAGAACCAGTCTCTTTCGGGAGGAAAAAAGCGTTGGAAACAAAGAGTTAAGACTTACTGGTGCCGCCCACGCACAAATGGATTCTTTCGGTTAGAATTTGTTTGTTTTTTCAGAACGACAACTGAATTATTATTTACCTGGATACATCTTGCTGATTTCCTGAATGAAGGCCTCGTTGAATCCAGCAATTATAGCGCCACCTACTGGAACCATAAAATTTTTGTCCAAGCTCTGGACGAAAGCATCAATTCTCCCAACCCGAGCCCCCTAGAAGGAAATGATACATTACCTGTTAAGTCTCTAGAATAGACAAAAACTACTCGCAAATAAGTACCATTAAAATTATTCACAGACTCAAAAATGGACTGAAGATTTTTATTTTCCTGTAACAGCTCTCGTAAAATATTTTCAAGGATTTTTTTTTTATATATATATTGTTTTGAGGAGGCCACACCGGGTGGGGCTCAGGGCTTACTCCTGGCTAGTTCTGTGCTCGGGGATCACTGCTGGCGGGTTTGGGGCACATCACGGGGTGCCAGGCACTGAACGTGGGCTGGCCATGAGCAAGGCTAGTGCAATGCTGTACTACTGCTCCCGCCCTGAAACACTTTGATTCTCTAAAGAGAGTTTTTAACTGCGGTTCCTTAGTATACTACTTTATACCTTAGGCTCTCCCTCCACACAGAACTCCTTCAGTGAAGACAGTACAGGGCCAGCTCCGTGGGGTGGGAGCTAGCAGAAAGGGAGTTTTCCACCTTAAACCCATTGCGCAGGTGCGTGGGCCGGGATCGCCTCCCCGTAGGGCCTGCAATGACCGTTCACTTCATGCTCCCTGTGTGAGCGGGGTTGTCCACCGCTGGCTCCTTGGGGGCCAGGGCCTCCCCCTGCTGCCGAGCTCTGTCCACGTACCCTGAGTCTCCCGGCCTCACTGGGGAAGTGGCGACCTGCACGACTAGAGTCAGCAACAAGTGCTGTTGTACCCCAACTCAACCCACCACAGAGCAAAGAACATTTTCTGTGTTTCGTATCCACTAATGGATACTTCTTGTTTTATGCACTCTTGGCAGTGTCTCTACATAACTCATTATTTCCTAATGTTGTAAGCTTAGATGATCTCATGCTACCGCAAATGAACTTCAAGTGAAAATCTAATATTCTGTGAAAAATTGCATACTTACTAGAAACGTTAAAAAAAAAAAGAGTTCTAGTCCCCATCCAACACTGTCTGTGACCTTCTGTCTAATGTGCTTCAATTTTCTCCTCTTAAACAAAGAGATACTATCTCAATTTCAATGAAGATAGTTTTTTTTCTTCCTCTTTTATCTATAGGCACAGATTTTTCAATCTGCACTTACAATCTACATTCCTATTAATACTGGGGCTGCCTCTGACCTTCATCCCCACACACTCTCTCCCTCGACATCCCTATCTCGGGGAGAGCAGGAGGCTGCAGAGCTGGGCCTAATCTCGGGGACCAGATCCGGACCACAGGTGGGGGCGGCAGGAGCCTGGGGAGGAAGTGGCTGCTGCCAAGGTCCCCGTAGGCCTCACCACCCCTGCTCTCCTCCTCCTCACCTGCTCACAAACTCTGGTCTGAGGCAATCTCCCTACATCTTGGGACAGGGGAGTGCGGCCCGGAAGGCCCAGGGAGTAAGTGACCTGAAGACACGCCGAGGAATGACAAGTCACACCCACAAGGAGCAGCTGCAGTTGCCTGTGACGGGTGTGCCAGTATGCGGTCCCTGGGCTACTGGAGGGATGGTCACGGTTCTCCCGTTGTTCATCGATTTGCTCGAGCGGACCCAGTAATGTCTCCATCGTGAGACTTGCTGTTACTGTGTTTGGCATATTGAACACGTCACAGGTAGTTTGCCACGCTTTGCCGTGCGGGCGAGATATTCTCGGTAGCTTGCCAGGCTCTCCAAGAGGGACAGAGGAATCAAACCCGGCTCGGCCGGGCCGGCTGCGCGCAAGGCAAACACCCTACCACTGTGCTATCGCTCCAGCCCGCTGGAGGGACACGGGACCCTAAACTGGGACAAGGGGTAAGGAACAGCCAGCACCAGCCTCGGTCAGAATCCTGCCTCGCCAGAACACAGGACGCCCTCAGGAGCGGCAACATGGTCAGGCCTAAGGACACAAAGGAGCATGGGGTCGGCCTCCAGGGCTGAGTGGCCCACAGAGGCCACTGGGCGAGAAGGGTGGTCAGGCACATACCCAGCGGAAATTAACCGTGCGCTCTAGAAAGGGCAGGGCAGGGCTGTGCAGTGAGCTCACCCCCTCTCCTCGAGGAACACACAGCCGGCACTGACCACCCACCCCTCCCGAGAACAAAACAGGCCAATGACTGCCAGAACGCACCCAGAGCTCACTATGGATAGTGGCGACATCAGGTTCTTAACTCCCTGCACCGTCACACCTCTAGGACGGCCACCACAGAGAGGAACAAGGGAAGGGACAATGCAAATCAAGTGGCCTGTCTGAGGTCCAGAATGTAGCGAGGGGCCGGAGCGATAGTACAGCGGGGAGGGCGCTTTTCTTGTAAGTGGAGGCCCCGGGTTTGACCCCACCTCGACAGTCTGTGGGGCGCCAGGAGTAACTGAGCCTCGCTGGATGTGACTAAGAGGGAAGGGGAGAGAGCAATTAAGGAACAGCACACACAGCTGGGATTAGAGTCCAGCAGCCCCGGGCTGAAGGTGACCAGACAATACTGCCAAAGCACGGGGCTCAGAAGCCAAGCCACCTGGACGAGAACACATGACCTGGGCAGCTTTCCCGTACCTCCAGCGAACCCACGCGGGACACCCTGGGGACCCCGAATCCTCACTGCCCCCGACTCCACACGCTGCCCCCGTGCATCCTGCCTCTCCCAACTTCTAGTAACTCGGCCCAAGCACCCCCCTTCTACACATGCATGTACACACACGCAGGCAGGGGGCCGGGGACTGCGTCATACCTCCCAGCCCAGCCTGTCTGCGGCATGGGCACCTGCTGGCCGACGCTGTGCCCCACATCACTCTGCTGCGCAGAGCCTCCCTGGCCGACAGCCACACACCTGGAAGGCAGCCCTCAATCTCGTCACTACCCTGGAGCCTTCACCTGGGCTGGCTGCCTGGCTGCTCCTGAGCACTGCAAACACCAGGCCGCCGGGGGTCCTGATCCCGTGCTATGCTGTGGAGTCTGAGGCCGGCTGCTGAGGCTCCTGGGACACTAGACAGCTCATCCCCCCTCTCCCCCCTGCTCCCAGGTCCCTCCGTGTACACGGACACCCTCAAGCCAGTGTTTCTCAGGATGGGTCTCATTTCCTGTTTGCTGTCTGCTTCTGCTCCATCAGGGGACGGAATTTCTTGTATTCGTTACTGCATCCCCAGGGCCAGTCCCCCCCCACCAACCCCAGTGCCTGGGACCACACTGGGAACCTCACCAGTACTTGCACGGATGGACAACTGAGTCTGTGACTAGTACTAACACTCACTTTCTCTAATTCATAATAAGCAAAGTTCCTACTTCCAATAAGGTATGTGAGTTCACAAAGCAAAATGCTTTGTGTGTGTGGGGGGGGAGGGAGGGTCTGCGACGCATGTGTGTTCGGTGGCTCTGTTCAGTGGCCCAGAGCCACCTCCCCAAGCCTCCCCAACAGAGAGGGGATGGGGGTGGGACAGGACACCACAGCCTGATGGTGAAAATGGCCCGCTTAATGCAGAGCTGCTAGCATAGTTACAGAACATCTGAGGGGGCCTGAGGTAAGGACAGAGGAGATTGATCATTTATAGAGATAAACATTTGGCAGAGGAAATTCTCTTGGGGAGATTAACTCAAGGAGACACTCTGTCTCCCAGGGACATCTACATTGCTTTTATCTTTCCCTCTTGTTCTATATGTTATCAATACTTGCAGTTGTCTGGATAAATACAGTAAGAGACAAAGATCCCAACACTTAGTTCTCGGGGCTCTGAGAGCAAGCAAGGCTTTTACCGTAAATCCCAGACAAAGTCCTCAGGCCAGTTCAGCTTGCCCTTCCTCATGGGGGTTCCTGTCTCTTAAACTGCAACAGCTTGCATCAAGATCATGCATTTATGCTTTCTAGAAAGTCCTATTTCAATGCCGGGGTAGCTTTGCCACTCGCCCTGAGTCCATCCCAGTCTCATGGTGGGACCTCCCTTTTGGGGTATTAGAAACTACAGCAACTGAAGCCTGAGTCAACTTATTATGACCAAGTAATTTTGCCCAGGAGTAGATATATTTTAGACACATCAACTCCCAAATATTTGGAGCATAGCATTAATGGCCTTTCTGTGTTTAACCAAAGAACATTGCCCTATAGTAAAATATGAAAAGGGGAAATAGAAAAGCAGGTACCAATGCTCAGCACTTCAAAGACAAAGCAGTACAAATACAAAGTTCAGAATCACCAGAAATTTTTGGCTTATAAGTAATCAAGACTGACTCAGGGAACTGCTACAATGACAGGTAAAGTACAAAGGAATGGTCAAAGACAAACTTTTAACTAAATCAGGGATGCTAGCAAGAGCATGAAGCTTCTCTGGGAGGAGGAAGGGACAACTCACTGATGAAGCCTAAAACACTTAGGGTTGATATCCAACAAGCTGCGCATTATTCTTCCATGTTTCTTGACTACTGTACTCCTCACCATCAATCCCTCTTAATATACACACTCCAAGAGCTCAGTCCATTTTACTCATACACAAAAGTGCCAACCTCCACTACCCAACCACTGCCATGCTCCAAGCCACTTTCCACACACTCAGACTGAGCCTCACATATGAGTGAACATATTCCTAGACACATCATAAGACACTCCCTACCCATTTTCCATAATTACCACACCATATTTGATGGGGTTCAGACAGTAGGCAACATAATGACTAATGATCAATGTCCTGGGCTGGGGTGGAGCGTGGGAGGTGGAAGGGATGCTGGGACCATTGGTGGTGGAGAATGGGCACTGGTAGAGAGATAGGTACTCAATCATTGTATGACTGAAACGCAAGCACGAAAATTTGTAAGTCTGTAACTGTACCCCACAGTGATTCACTAATAAAAAATTTTTTAAAAATTAAACAAATTGTTACTAGCATAACAAAATACATTTATATCAGAAATAATACACTTAAACGCATACTGATCAAAGGGGGTGAAGAGATAATACAGTGGGTAGGGCACTAGCCCTGCACATGGCCAACCCAAGTTCAATCCCTGGCACTCCATATGGTCCCTCAAGCCCCACCAGGAGTGATGCCTGAGCACAGAGCCCTGAGCACTGCCAGGTGTGATCCCAAATCAATAAATACCACTACTTGTTAAATAAAAGCCCAGTTCAATGATTTCATGTACAAAATGTGCATTTTTAATATCAATGAACATGGTTTAAGAAGGGAGGGGGGAATGAAGAGGAAGAAGTCGGGGGAGTGTTATTTTACATACCGTTATGTCCTATAGGGTGGCTCTAGGAAGGTGAGGGGACAAGCAGCTCCCCAGGAGTGCAATCAGGAGAGTGAGCAGAGTGGAAGCCTGACGGTCTGTGCAGGGGGAGCAAGGGGGGAGCAGACCCAGGGCGAGCGTGGCCCAGACAGCAGGGCGGAAGGAGAGGAGCAGAGAGTGCGCGCAGAGGAGCTGCCCGGGCCTGAACACACAGGCCGGGCCTCTAGACTCACATTCCGAACAGTACGGGAACACCTACTTCCAAATTGGGACCCAGAGCGGATTACTCGGATACAGCTGATGCTCTTAAAAATACAATTTTAGAAAGGCTGCAAGACTCCACCATCACACCGCACAAGGTTTATATAAATGAAGTCCTTTCCAGTCAAGGACACTAAGGTAAAGTCACTCCTTAAATATTAAATACGTGAATTATCAATAGCTTGAAAAGCATCCGCCTCAAATAATGCTATTTAAAATGTGATGCGGGGACCTAATAATGGTTGCACTGAACGTCTTTTTGTTTAAATGCTGCAGCTTCCAAGAACCTCCTGTGAGGACTTACTGCGGTGTTTAAAATACTATCTTAGGGCTGGAGCGACAGTACAGCAGGAAGGGTGTTTGCCTTGCACGCGGCTGACCTGGCTTCAATTTCCAGCATCCCATATGGTCCCCTGAGTACAGCTAGGAGTAACTCCTGAGAACAGAGCCAGGAGTAATACTTGTGCATCCCCAGGTGTGACCCAAATAGCAAAAAAATAATAATAATAATAATAATTAAAAAAAACAAATTAAAATACTATCTTCCAGTATAAAACCCATCTTATTATTTCATGCTTACTTTGGACAACCTGGCAGGCTACCGAACGTAACCTGCCCTCACGGCAGAGTCTGGCAAACTCCCCGTGGCATACCCAATATGCCAAATACCAGTAACAATGATGGGTCTCGTTCTCCTAACCCTGAAAGGGCCTTGAATCTCAGGGCTAGGATGAAGAAGATGTTACTGGGGCCTCCTCGAGGCAATCGACGAACAACAGGATGGTTGTGATCGTGATCCAGTATGTAGGAAAACAAGAATCTTGACAAGAAAACATTCTCAGACAGTTTAAAATATACACTATGTTTGGGGGTGGGGTGGGGATGTGGCTAGCCAGTTTGCCAGTTTGCCAGCACCAGGCCACTGGCCGATGGTAACAGACCGTGAGTGTGCCCAGGAAGTGTGGGGGGAGGCTGGAGGACAACCCCAGGTGGAGAGATGCTGACAGTCCCACGGAGGCGATGGCGCTGGCCAGCGCTGGCCACCAGGGAGCAAAGTCAGTGCAGGAGGGGCAGGGCCAGAGAGCTGGCTCAGAGGGCCGAGTGCATTCTTTGCCATCCCGGCCACCACCCCGTCCCCCAGCACCGCCAGGAGTGACAGCCACGCACCATGCCCTGGGGAGCACCCGAGCACGGCCGGTGTGGCCCAAGCAGAAGCTGGAGGTAATAAGCCACGGAAGTCATTCTGTGTTGATTCTGGCCACAGCACCAGTCACATTCTCAAAGTAACTTAAACAGTAACTTTAAGAAAAGTCTGGATGTTGGGGCTAGAGCAATGTGATACCACAGAGGGTAGGGCGTTTGCCTTGCACGCGGCCAACCCGGGTTCGATTTCCAGCATCCCAGATGGTCGCCCGAGCACTGCCAGGAGTAATTCCTGAGTGCATGAGCCAGGATTAAACCCTGTGCATCGCCGGGTGTGAGGAAGGAAGGAAGGAAGGAAGGAAGGAAGGAAGGAAGGAAGGAAGGAAGGAAGGAAGGAAGGAAGGAAGGAAATTCTGGATGCAAATGTTCCATGGTCTATGAGGCTAAGGGTACAGGATGGCTAAGGGTACAGGATATGCGTTTTTACTATGTTTAATTGTAAGGAGAACAAAGTCACAATCCTCTGCTATGCTGAAATCGATTTTTCTCTTCTGGCCCTATCTCTTTAAAGTCTCCTACCTGCTGAATGAGATGCATACACTTGGAAGACTGCACTCCGTAAGCATTGTTGACGATGTGCGGAATTCCATACTTAGCACAAATCACAGACAGCTCTTCTAACCTGCAAATACATTCAAGAGAAAGACATGGTCACACTGTGTTTGATAAATGACAACGGATTAATTTTAATTTAGTAGCTACCCTTGGCATACACCAGGCAGAAAGAAAAGTGATAAAACCGAGAACATTCACTACAATATAACCTGGATGCTTGGAAATACATATCAAGAACCAAAGACCCCGAAAAGAGTTTAATCTAACACTATCAATAAGTGAGAAAATGTGTGTTTATAAAAATGAATACAAATGGTAGCTTTAAAATTTCCTATATAAAAAGCAAGAAGCAAATTATTTATAATGATTCCTTCTAAGGTGGTGTTCAAATGCTTTGGCTACTTATCATACTAACAGCAATATCTGGAAAATAATCAGCATATCTTGAAATATTAAAAAATCTCACACTAAACATCTCATAGAGAGAAAAATACATTTTCAAAGTGATTTGATTTTTTGGCTTTGGGGTCACACTAGCTGTGCTCAGAGCTTATACCCTTGGCTCTGTGCTCAGGGACCACCAATTGTGTGGCTTGGGGAACCTTATGGGGTGCCAGGATCAAACCCAAGTCAGTCATATGAGGCAAAAGCCTTAGATGCTATATTATCTTTCCAACCCTCAAAACAACTTTAATGCATTAAAAAATACAGACCATTAAAGTATTTTCATACCAAAATAACATTTCCAGCAACTCAGATATGAAAGAATTCTTCAAACTGCTGCTGATTTTAAATTCACTTTTTTTCATTTGACACTTATATTTAGGCAATTTCAGATTCTAACTTTATGCAAAGTAAGATAATAAATTCCAATTAGCACATAATAAATAGATAATTTTTCACAAAACTAAATATTCCTTGCAACTGAGGTCATTGCTAATAGAAATGTCATCACAGTATGAGGCCAAAACTAAATCCTATGGTTGAATAAATTTGTTCTCATTCTCTTTCTACAACTGTGTTAAGAATTTAGAAGGGAAATAATCTTTACCATAATATATAAAGTTATTTTCTAAGGCTGGGGAAAATGCTTAGAGGGCTAGAACACATGTTTCTGCATGTAGGAGCCCAGGTCTGACCCCCTGACAACACACTATCCCCTGAGCACCCCCCCAAGGGATCCTGAACAACAGCCAGCCAGGTCCCCCCAAAAAAAGCACAGAGCCAGGACTAACCCCAGAGCATCGCCGGATGTGGCCCCCACAGAATATTCATTCTTTTTTAATAAGACATTACATAATGTTGCTATCTATTTTCACATAATGGGTCTTTTTCAGTACATGTGCAAAGTCGTTAAACACCAATAGCACTGACATTAATCTATTTGTCAATTTTCCATTAATTTCCATGAAGTTTTTCACAAACTGACACAGAAAACCTTTCTTTTAAACTACTCACATCTTTATCAGATACTGATAATTCTTCATAAAATGAAAGGTACTTTCACATGTGTTTGTGTTCTAATGAAAGTATCTTTGATGACAAGTTTCCTCCTTTTTGTCTTTTAATTTTTTTATTGAATCACAGCGAATTACAGAGTTACAAAGTTATTCACAATTGAATTTCTGGTGTACATTATTCCAACACCAATCCCATCACCAGCTGACAAACTCCCTTGAGAAAAAGACACCATAAACTATTTAAACAAGAAAAAAAAAGCACTTAAGCAAGTTTTAACTGTTCTGAATAAATCTGTTTGCGCATAGCAAAAAGCAGAAAGTTAGTAAAGTTTATTCTGTGTAAACTGAATCCAAACTTAACTGAATCCAAGCTAATTTAAGGTATTTGTTAGAAGAAATAATACCCATCCCTTTCTTTAGCATTTCCTTTGGCTTTGAGCCATGATACTCTGTCCAATTTATTAATTAAAACAGTGAAAATATATCTACCCATTAAAATTAATAAGGAATTAGGGCTAATGTGGAGACATTAAAATGCATTTTGAAGTTTCATAAAATCAAAAATCCAACTTAGGAAATGCATACCATTTTCCTCATGCTCACAATTATCAGAAATGTAAGTTATAAAGCACTGCTAAAAAGTGGGAAAATGAGAATTTTGCTATGTAATAAAATCTTAATTTTTCTAAAGGATATAATATCTATTGGATCTCTAATGCTATACCAAGCATACTGTAAATATTAGCAAGTAAGTTGGTGAAAATGAAACAAAAACAAAAAACTACCCTCAAGGACAAATAATGAAACTATAACAAATATTCGTATGCTATTTTAGACATGTAATTTACTTCAATCGCATTAAAATTTTTTCTATATTAAACTACTAAAAAAGAAAAAGATGTCTAATATTCAATAAAAATTTATAATCTACTTGAGCACTGTAGCACTATCGCACTGTTCTCTCGTTGTTCATAGTTTTGCTCAAGTGGGCACCAGTAACATCTCCATTGTGAGACTTGGGCTGTTCAATACAGTATTCAAAAATGAATCCAACTTTCGGGCAAAATGATTTTAACGCAACAAAAATATTCCTGCCAAAACTAGATATCTTTATTAGTAGAACCAAGTTTATTACAGTACTTGAACTAAATTTTGTGAGCATCCTTTCTTTTTGCTTTTTAAAAAACAAAACAAAACAAAAAAACACTTGCATGTTTCTCAAAATGCAAAGACAACCAATCTGTACACCTATGTGGGAGAGGAAAACATCATTTATCCTTATAAAATCACACTGTTAAATAACGAGGGAAGATACTGAGCAATAAGAAACAGAAAAAGACCCGGAGAATAGGCTTCCCAGCCCCTCTCAGTGATAACGGGGTCTCCACTCAGCTGTCAAGGCTCTTATTCCAGTCAAAGCACTGTAGGCCACACAGTGAGAAAGCAGTATGTTTCTGCACATGGGCAATCTACTTCCTTAAACACATGACCGACTCACCTATCTGCTGGCAAATGAGTATATGTGAGAATTAGTGTTACCTGCATTTTACCTAAAGACGAATGAACCCCACAGGGATGAGATTCACAAATCATTTACCGATCAGGCACCCGTGGAGCAAAACAGGACGTGGTCGAATGAACACACAGAATGTAATCAGGCCCAAGTTCCTGAACTTTAGCCTCCACCGCGGTCAGGTCTGTGCGCAGCTCATCACCTTCTAGAATGTTCTCTATCACCACGGGCTCAAAACCTAATCAAGCCAAGCAGAAATGAACATGTCAATGTACACTGAAATCAGGGAAGAACCTGGAGCTCCAGGAAGCCGTGCAATTTCTCTACACAAGTGAACTCTGCATAGTGATTTTGGTCAATAAGCCCTCCCTCTGGTAATAAAGACCCAACTCAATACTGATTGGAGTCAAAGGCAGGTCAAAAGAACTAGACCTCACGGAGAATCACAAATCCATTTAAACACTTTGCTCTGAGAAAGATTAATTCTGTAAGGGAAAACAAAGCTTTAAAAGAAAAGAAGGAACAGTCATTGATGACAAAATAAATCAAACTCAATTTCAGTCCAGAGAACAATCTATTTTAGTCAATGGCAATAAACTTCACTTTCTTGAAGATGAACAAAAAAATAATAATTCAATTATTAAAACAAATCAAAAACATCAACTCCATTAACAGTCAAAAATAAATGTGGTGCACATCAACAGCTTAAAGGTAGTAATTGATCTTTTCATAACCTCCTAAATTTTAAATATAAAAATTACTTTTAAATTTTTATTTGAATTAGCCAACTAACACATGGTAAAAGTTCTACCCACACAACAAAGGTCCAAAGGAAACATAATGGTAAAACTGACCCACATAACATAGTTTGGGGGAGAAGGGGAGAGAGGGGTGTTGGGTTCCTTACAGGAGGAAGATAGGGACACTGGTGATAGGTCTGGTGTTGAAATTATATGCATGAGAAACCATTATTGATAGTACTGCAAACCACAGAATCTCAAATTAATAATATATTTTAAAAAATAAAATAAAGAGAACTGTCAGGAAAAAAGTTCCACCCATGTAATTATGGAAGCCTGTATGTTAATATTTAGATATCCATAAACTTAAAAAGTTGTTATCTGGAGCCAGAGAGGGTAGGGCACTTCCCTTGCATGCAGTCAACCTGGTTCAATCCCTGGAAACACATATGGTCCCCCGAACTAGCCAGGAGCGATCCGTGAGCACAGAACCAAGAGCAAGCTCTGAGCATCATCAGAAGTGTCCCCCCCTCCACCATAAAGAAAAAGGTTGTTATCCGATATATATACAGAAATTATACAAAGTATTAAGCACTTGTGATACTAGGCAATAATTAGACATGGAAGTACAACATAACTAAGACTTAGAACTTGTTTTAGGGGAGACCAGGGCAAGTGGAGTTTTGGGGTCTTACCCAGCTATGTTCAGGCTCACTCTGCTGGTGCCAGGGGCCACATGTGGTATCAGGGATCAAACCTCATCAAATCTCAGAAGCCCACATGCAGGGCATACGCCCTGCACACTGTGCTATCTCCCCATCCCTAAGTCTTAGAATTTGGATAGAAAATAAACAGGAAATTCTGCAGATAACGTTATTTGAACATCTATTTCCCTAAATACCAAATGTAGTGGCAGGCTAGATTCATGGATTTAAGAGTTATAAGGGATTTAGAAACTATTAGCTCAACTCCCTCATTTTGAAGATAAGGGAGCCAGAGTTCAGGAAGATTAAGAGGCTTCCCAAGGTCACACGATCAGTTAAAACAAAGTTAAGAGCAAGTAATTTCGAGTTTTACCTTCTGCACCAATTGTTCACCCCAAAGAAAGTGAAGTTTATTGCGATTGACTAAATAGATTTTTTTCTCTGGGTTGAAATCGAGTTAGATGTCTGCATTCTAGCTGCAGAATATAAAATCTCAAGCCCTCTAAAAGTCATCAATCCAAATATATTTGTTCAGAGATGTCCCAAGTTTGTTATCTCTACCTAAACAAACAAACATTTACCAAAGTCCAAGGGAGAGCAAATTTTTCTCATTATTTCTAAAATTTTGGGGGGAAAAAATTCTGTAGACCAGCTTTTTAAACTGGGGACTGCAGCCCTAGGTGCAAGCACACACCTGAAGATGTTTCCAAATAAATTATGGGGTTTTTTCAATCAGTAAATGTTTGATTTGGAATACCTATTTCTCAGCACTGGGATTGTATAAAAATTTCTCAAGAAAATGGATAACAAGAGGAAAAAAAGTCTAAGACGTCCTGAACTAGACCCAATCCTATTTTTGCTTTCAAACAATTAAAACACATGTTTTTTAAAGACTAACTCTGAGGCTGGAGCAATAGCACAGCGGGTAGGGCGTTTTGCCTTGCACACGGCCAACCCAGGTTCGATTCCTAGCATCCCACATGGTCCCCGGAGCACCGCCAGGAGTAATTTCTGAGTGCAGAGCCAGGAGTAATTCCTGAGTGCAGAGCCAGGAGTAATCCCTGTGCATCTCCGGGTGTGACCCAAAAAGCAACAACAACCAACAAAAAATTTTAAAAACAATCTCTACCTTGCTTCCTTAGATACCATCCTAAAAGTAATAACTATCATAATAATAGTTCTAAATTATGGTAATAAGGCATAATATGATTTTGAAAAAGTTTTCAGTTTTTCAAATATGGCGATGTTTTTCAAAAGTTTGACATACCGTGATTTGATTTGGATAAGAGACTTGACAACTTATATGCTACTTCAAATAATTAATATGTTTTTTAAAAGTCATGAAGTTTCTGCTACATGACCTTATTATAAGCCCCTTTACATCAGCTTTTCAGGACTATTTAAGCAATGTAAATGAAGTCCAACAGTTTCATTCAGACTAACGCTACTCAAAAATATCTTAAATTAAGCAGGTCAATACAATATGCCAATTTGAGACTTTGGTCTCACCCATACTGTGTGATGCCTGTATCCTTGCATTCTGATTCATGGTAATAACATGGTTAGTATACATTCATCGAACATTCCAGATGCACCACTTTTTGCTCTGGGGACAGCTACTGAGCATTTTCATGTGTCATCCCATTTACTCCTCACAATAGACCAGTAATCATATTCCCACTTAAGAAACAGGAACCTATAATTCAGCTTTGATTCCCTTTCTGAATACACACCCAAACAGATTCACAGCAGGGATGAGACAGGTAGTTGTACACTTCTGTTCTCTACAGCATGACTGCCAAGCACCAAAAGGTAGAAACAACCCAAGTGACCAACAATGAATGAATGAATGAATGAACAACATGTGAGTTACAGGCAAAGAGGTACCATTCCATTTTTAAAAAGGAAATTCTCATCCATGCTCTATTATAGATAAACCTGCAGATACGTGCACGCTGAATGAAGTAAGTTAGTCATGGAAGAATAAACACCGAATCATTCCGCTTCTACAAAGGATCTGGAGTAGAAACTCATAGACAGAAAGGAGGATGCTAGTTCTGAGGACCCGGGAGGACGGAGGAGGAGTAACTGAGGGTAGAGTATCAGTTTCGGAGAATGAAGAAGTTCTGAAGACGGGCAGTTGTGGCAACTGTACACAGCAACACATACACACTTTAAGCCACAGAATTGCAGACTTAAAAATGGTTAGAACAGCAGATTTTCTATTTGTGTATTTTACCACAATTAAAAAGGTAGGACCGGACACAATTTCCTTTCATCTCTGAATAAACGTTTGAACTAATGAAGAGATTCTAGAGAACACTTCTCTTACCCGCAGTAACCATAGATTTAAAGCAGGATTTCTGATCTATCCGTGGCCATATAATATACTTCGCCTTTGGTCTTTTGTGTCGCAATGTTAAAAAACACAAGGTTAGACTCATACCAGTTGCCATAGGAACTACAAAGCAGTTGGCCACCGTCTGGACACCTGTGAAAGAGAAATAAAACAGAAAACAGTCATTCCACAGTTAGAACCAGCTTCCTTTTTAAGAAATTACAGACTTCTCTCCAATACTAAGTTATCAGTCACCCTAGCATGGCTTCTACACTCGCTCTAGAAAGCTCACTGCCAAATTCACGCTCCAGGCCTATGGCTCTATTAAGAATTAATGGCTATTATCTCATTCAAAAGGTCTTCACGTGTGTGTCTATATTACTTTTTTTTTCTTACAAGTCATTCATCATTTTTTGGAAAGAGGCATTGTAATAAATATTAGAAAAAGGTGAGTGCAGCTGGTCAGAGAGAAGTATTATGATTAACACAGTACATACCAGCCAATTTTATGATGTCCAGAACCAAAGAATTGGTAATTTTGTTCAATAGACTAGAACCTGCAGCTTTGGGTTGCACGGCAGAAATATCACCCGATCGTCCAATTCCATGAATGAACCTGAGCAAAAAATGGGCCAACAACTGGACAAAAATATTCAGTGTTCTAAGTAATCTACCATACATTATACAAATATAACTGACCAAAAAGTACCAGAAGCAATTTTTGACTATTATAGATGTATCTGATAAAATCCTAATAATGTGCAAATAACCTGGAAATTGAAACAAATTCATCAATTACTCCGTGGCGGGCAGTCTTCCACAGAGGTGACTGTCAATTTCCTTTCTTCCCATGCCCATATGCCACACCAGGAGATGGAGTCTAATGCCTCTCCGCTTGAAATCTCGGCCTCACGAGACCAAGAAGAATCTAGCACAGATATTGGTCCGTAACATATGAGCTAGGTCTTAAGAAGCCTCCAAGTTTCCTCCTAGCATTTGGGAAGGGCTAGTCAGCCTTTTACCGTCCAGCTCCCTGCTGGGAAAGCCTCAAGACACATGGAAAAAATTGAGTCATCCTGAATAAAGAAACTAGTTGGACCATCAGATGACTCAACTCTCAGCAAACATCTGATGACAAAGGCAGGAGAGACCCAAACAATAATCTGAGTCAGGCCCATGGAACAACGATAGACAGTAATCGGTTGTTTTAAGCACTTAAGTTTCAGAGTGGTTTTGTTAGCAAAAACTGAAACCAGAACATGTACATTAACTTCTTTCTTTTTTGCACACTGGGATTATCACAGAACACTAGTCACATTTGACTAGTACTGATAAGCAAAATATTTTTCAGCATATATTACCAAGCTTGCTACCAGCCCAGGGTAAGCAGGCATTTATCATACAACTATCAATGGTTTTGACTGCAATTGTTTGTATTGAAATAAGTTTCTACCATTCCTATGAAAACTTCATCACAGTTTATTATCATAGGAGACAAGATTCGGAGTTTATCTATATTTCAAAGAAACACTGAAGAACAGAGGGATAGAGAGGGATGGTCATAAACAGAACCAGAGTCAAATGATTATCAAAACTGACAAAAAGCTTCCCGGAATAATAATGGGGGGGGGGGGAATTACTAAACTTAAGATTGTTCATCGATTTGCTCGAGCGGGCCCAGTAACGTCTCCATTGGAGATTTTGTGGTTACTGTGTTTGGCATATCGAATACATCACGGGTAGCTTGCCAGGCTCTGCCATGCGGGCGAGATACTCTCGGTAGCTTGCCGGGATCTCCGAGAGGGGCGGAGGAATCGAACTCGGGTTGGCCATGTTGGCCGTGTGCAAGGCAAATGCCCTACCGCTGTGCTATCACTCTTTAATATACCTTTTTTAAATCTATCCCAACAAACCAAGTTACCTAGAATGCACACTTAGTTCAGAACAGATTTAAAATAGTTTAAAAGTGCTACCTTTACATTATTCTTTCAAAAATTCAACATTAAAAAATAAACATGGAAAACTATAAACTATACCTTAAGCTCTTATGATCAGATTAGGCTAAACGAAACAGATCATTTAGCCAACACTGTTAACCAGACAGAGCCTGACAGGGTAACACCATGTACTGGAATTTTTATCCTTTCTTCCCTCCCTTCCCCAGTGTTTGAGATCAATACCATAGACTGTACCACTGAACTCCGCTGTCCTAAATAACACCTGCTCAGACCATTATTCCCATCTTCCTGTTGCATCAAATGGTCCATTTGAACAGAGAAGCTGCTTACAAAGGGACACTTGATAATTCCCTATGATGCCTTTAGCTTTGTTATAAATGAGGAAAATGTTTTCACAAGCTACAAAAACAAACGTACCTGTAATGCCGCCGGGCGACTAAAGCCGAAGCCACTCTCCCTTCCCTTTCTCCCACACCACAATTGCCCAGGAAATTGTTGCTATCCATGATTGCCAATTCATGTAGGAAGAGTTCAAGTGTACTTTCATCCCAGCCGTCCTCTGGACACTTGCCCTTAAAAGAGACAAATAAAAAGCGGACACCCATTATATTAAAGAAAACTAAAGGGGGCCACAGACATGGCTCAGTGGTCTGGAAGCACATGTTTGGCATGCAGGAGGTCGGGGTTTGGGGCTTGATCACCGGGGACCTCCATCCCAAAAGCACCCCACAGGAGCGACCCAACCACCCTCAAAGAGCATCCCTGAAATGTACACTGGTGGAGGGACAGGTGTTGGATCACTGTATGACTGGAACCCAATTCTGAACAGCTTTGCAATTGTCTAGCAGTGATCCAATTTGAAAAATATTTTTAAATAATAATGTTAAAAAAATAATAAGCTCGTGGTCTATGTGGGTTTTGTATATTAAATATTTAAGATAGGAAAAAAATCTCTGAGGATTACTCCATAGCTTAGAGGCCAGCCGGGAATCCTAGGGGAAAGGGTAGCTCAGATAGAGAAGGGAGCACCAAATAAAGGGTGTTTGGAGGATCCTCCCAGGAGGGGAGATGCATGTTGAAAGTAGACTATGGACTGAACATGTTTGCCACTCAATGCCTCTTTTGCAGACCACAACACCCAAAAGGAGAGAGAGAACAAAAGGAAATGCCCTGCCACAGAGGCAGGGTGAGGGGTGGGGGTGGGGGGGTGAATATTATCCATGGTGGTGGAAAATGGGCATTGGTGGAGGGATGGGTATTTGATCATTGTATAATCGAAACCCAAGCACAAAAATTTGTAAATCTACAACTGTACCTCATGGTGTTTCACTAATAATAATAAAAAAAAAATCTCTGAGCATTGGGGGGTGTGGCCTAAAACCAAAAGAAAAAACAAAAAAGAAACTGATTGTTCCCTAGACTCTTACTTCAGTGATTCTAAAGACTTCTTAACGTGTATTCTACCATGTTCCTGTCTTTAAAACATGAAGCTAAAAATCACCGTTGTGAAGAGGAAGAGATGGGAGGTAAGCCAAATTGGCAAAACGTTCGGGCCATGCATGTTACAAGTCTTTGATTGCGAGAAGTGAAGCGACGGTCAAGGCTGGCTGGGCTGTGTAAACTGCAGTACAGAAAAGTAACCGAACACCAGCAAGTACCCCCCATCTGCAACGGAGGCCGCAGCCACAATCAGGGTGGTACAACTAAAAGGCTGCGACTGTAGCAACCAGAAAGCTCAGGAGGGGGGGGTCGGGGGGAGGGGTCAGGGAGGCGCTAAGCCGGGCAGGTGCGCTGCCTGGAGGGCCCAGCCAGGTCGAGGGTTCCAAAGGAAAGCAAGCTCCCGGGTGCTTCTGCGTGCGGAGAAAGTGGAGGTGCGAACTTTGTCCTTTGCACACATACACACCCCCAAAAGAAGGGGGCTGGGGGGAGGGGGTGGAACGGAGCGAGCCGGGATTTCCCTTCACTCCGGCTCTACATCCCGACGCCCCACCTACAACCCCCACCCGGGTGACATCTCTGGGGGCTGCAGGTGGGAGAAGGCAACGGAGTGCAAGCCGGGCGGCGGGCGGGGGGTCTCGGCTGCGGCCGGGGTGGGGGGCCCGACGGCTCGCTACCTTCTCCAGAAGCAGCCGGATGAGGTGCTCGTGCGAGCGGCGGGCCTCACAGCCCTGCCGCACGTAGGCGGCGGACACGAGCCGCTCGCCCGCCGCGAAGCTCTCGCGGTTCATGCCGGCGGGGGGCGACGGTGCGGGGACCACGACACACACACACACACGACGGGGCCCCGGCGGCAGCTGACTTCCTGGACGGTACGGGCAGGGCCGAGGGACAAAAACCCTCTTGGCCTCGCTTCGCCCCTGCGCGGGCCCACGCCTGGCGCATGCGCAGCCGCCTTACGCCGAGCCCGAGCCCCGCCCGGTGCGTCCGATTGGAGCCTCGGGAACCGACCCGGGAGGAGCGGCGCCGCGCTGGGTCTGAGCCTAAGGGCGCTCAGCCGTGGGGACCTCCCTGGGCTCCCAAGGGAGATTTGCCGAGCCCCTGCTTCAGTCGTGCACATCTTGCACACGCAGGCCGTGTTTCCCAGTGTCCACCCTCATCGTCCTAGTTACAGCATTTCATGCTTTCACACTCAGCCTTTTTTGTTTTTCAGTCACCGTGACATACACTTGCAAAACTGTCTGTTCATGGTTGGGTTTTCAGTCATCCAACACCCATCCTCCACCAGTGTCCATCTCCCACCACCAATGACCCCCCTTTATCCTCCTGACACCCCCCACCCCTATAGCGGACTCTCTCTGTCTCTCTGTCTCTCTGTCTCTCTCTGTCTCTCTTTGTCTCTCTCTGTCTCTCTCTCTCTCTCTCTCTCTCTCCCCTCTCACCCCCCTCCCACCGTGGGCGTTATGCTTTGTAGTACTAGGAGTTACCATGTTTGTTCCCTTACCTGTTTTCAGCTTGCAGTTCTTGTGGAGGTGATCATTTCCAACTCTCATTACCAAAATGGAGCTGCCTCCCCTACCAGGCGCCGCCCCGGAAAACCATGAGTCCAATATCTTCAACTCAGGTGTGTGACCCCAGATGGGATCTGCACCCTCCCCAGCCTGAAGTCCTGGTACCCTCGCTCTCATCCTTGACTTCATGCTTTGCAAAGCTTACTGCTGCTGGTTACTCTCTCCACTTGAAATAGCACTCCTGCTCCTTTTTCCCTTTCCATGTGTAACACACACACACACACACACACACACACACACACACACACACACACACACTTCCAGAACAAAGGGTTTTGCTCTATTCCCCCAAACACCTTGAGTTCTAGCAAATTACAAATGAGACTAAAAAAAAACTTTTTAATGCTGATTTAATGAAATCAATAGGTCATTGAACACCCTTGTGTGCACTATCAAAGATATAAGAATTAAAAGGCAAGATCCCTGCCTTCTGCTTTTTTGCATTTCAAACAGTAATTCCTGGTTTGCCCTTATCTGTCGTGATCTAGAGCCCACTTGGCATTGATTCAGACCTTTGGCAAGTGCCAGTTGTTAAATGTTGGATCATATGGGCTGCTTTTCAAATATAGCACATGCTCTTTAAAAATGAATTACAAAAATATAAAAATAATGAAATAATAAATTACGGGGCCAGAAAGATAGTTCAGCTGGTAAGGTGCTTGTCTTGCACACAGCCAATGCAGGTTCAATCCTGGGTATCTCATACAGTCCCCTGAGCGCTTTCAGGAGTGATTCCTGAGTGCAGAGGAGGAGTAAACCCCAGAAATGAGGGTGTAATCCCAAAACCAAAATAAATAAGTAAGTAAATTATTTGCCAGAAGCATTTGTTCAGCGAAATGAGGCCTTGCTTTACCTGCAGGAGGTTTTGCTTTGGTCGCTGCATGATGTGGCCTCAAAACCAAAAGTAAGCTAACTATCTAAAGTTTACAATCATGCCAAGTCTTTTTAAAATTTATTTTTAATTTTTTCAATTTTATTTTTATAGTTGTTCACGATGATTTATTACATTCAATATTCCAACACCAATTCCACCACCATTATACCTTCCCACCACCATTATTTCCAATTTTCTGGCCACCACCCAAACCTGCCCTGATAGAAGGTTCTAAATCATTTATTTTATATTGCTTCTTCAGAATAATTTGCTTAAAATGATCAAAAAAGATTTCCTTAGAAGAAAGTATGTTAAGATAGTTGTATCTCACCCTGGAGCCATAAAATCCTTGCATAAGAGATTACTAACATGTTGTTACAGGTTAAGCTTTATGTGCTAATATTTTTTAATTGAAATCGGTTGCCCGCCCTCTCTTCTCTGGAAAGAAAGATGGCGGCCACATGGGAGCCTTGTGGAAAGCAGGTATGAGCCGGGAGTGTGGGGGCGACTAAAACCTCATGGGAAGGGGGGCGTTCCGGTCCGTCCTTCACGCCCTACCGAGGTCACCAGTTGCCCCCCACGAGCAGCTCTCCAGCACGGCCACAGCCCCAGAAGCACAAGGGCTTAATGCAGAACCCAGCAGCTTGGAGCAGAAAAGTGAAAGGACTATGCGTTAATCCAGGCAATCATTTCTGCCCAGAGGGGAAAGGGTGTTGCTCCCTTCCGCCCTCCTCCCTCTGGAAAGAAAGATGGCGGCCACATGGGAGCCTTGTGGACAGCAGGTATGAGCCGGGGGTGTGGGGGCGACTAAAACCTCATGGGAAGGGGGGCGTTCCGGTCCGTCCTTCACGCCCTACCGAGGTCACCAGTTGCCCCCCACGAGCGGCTCTCCAGCACAGCCACGGCCCCAGAAGCACAAGGACTTAATGCAGAACCCAGCAGCTTGGAGCAGAAAAGTGAACGGACTATGCATTGATCCAGGCCATCAAGTCTGCCGGAGGGGAAAGGGTGTTGCCCCATTCGCCTTCTCCTCTCTGGAAAGAAAGATGGCGGCCACATGGGAGCCTTGTGGACAGCAGGTATGAGCCAGGAGTGTGGGGGCGACTAAAACCTCATGGGAAGGGGGGCGTTCTGGTCCGTCCTTCATGCCCTACCAAGGCCACCAGTTGCCCCCACGAGCGGCTCTCCAGCACGGCCACAGCCCCAGAAGCACAATGACCTAATGCAGAACCCAGCAGCTTGGAGCAGAAAAGTGAAAGGACTATGTGTTAATCCAGGCAATCATTTCTGCCCAGAGGGGAAAGGGTGTTGCTCCCTTCCGCCCTCCTCCCTCTGGAAAGAAAGATGGCGGCCACATGGGAGCCTTGTGGACAGCAGGTATGAGCCGGGGGAGTGGGGGCGACTAAAACCTCATGGGTCGGGGGGCGTTCCGGTCCGTCCTTCACGGCCTACCGAGATCACCAGTCGCCCCCCGCAAGCGGCTCTCCAGCACGGCCATGGCCCCAGAAGCACAAGGACTTAATGCAGAACCCAGCAGCTTGGAGCAGAAAAGTGAACGGACTATGCGTTGATCCAGCCCATCAAGTCTGCCGGAGGGGAAAGGGTGTTGCTCCATTCGCCCTCTCCTCTCTGGAAAGAAAGATGGCGGCCACATGGGAGCCTTGTGGACAGCAGGTATGAGCCGGGAGTGTGGGGGCGACTAAAACCTCATGGGAAGGGGGGCGTTTCGCTCCGCCCTTCACGCCCTACCGAGGCCACCGGTTGCCCCCCGCGAGCGGCTCTCCAGCACGGCCACGACTCCAGAACACAGAAACCAATTTCTTAACTATCTGACTTTCAGTAGAAATACTTCCAGGGTCAATAGGTAAAATAGCAGAAATCCAAAACCAACATTTAATTCTTGAACCCAGCTGTAGAAAGAAAATCACTTCACAATGCTTTTTCAGCATGTCTGATTTGGGGGGGGGGGGTAAACTCTAAATAATAGTGGTGAATCTTTTATTGGAACAATGAGTCTAATCAAAGCAGATAGAGTGTTAACTAGAATTCATCTGCCTCACAGGGACGGGGAGGGGTGGGGGGTGGGGTTTTATTGGGGTTCTTCATGGTAAAAAATAAGTATTGGTAAAGGGAAATGTGTTTGATATTTGCATGACTGAGACATAAACCTGAAAGCTTTGTAACCTTTCCCACAGTGATTCAATAAATAAATAAAATAAAATTAAAAAAAAGAAATCGGTTGCCTTCTACCTTACATCCTATCCAATGTGTGCTATTTGTCGCATATCAGTGGTATAGAGTATGAGATGTTGCACAGCAGCAAATGTGGCCACACAGTCCAGAAATTCTAAAATTTTAAATACGGTGATGCAGTTGAAGGTAAATTTTTAACTGGATGGGGTCTGAGACATCGCTGCAACTTGTTGATATCTTCTGAGATTTATTTGTGAGTCTCTGGATTATGGCTGGTTACTGAACTTACATGGTGCCAGAGGCAGTTTGTGGGCATGACTGCCAAGCTTCTGGAAGAACAGGGGAATGGGGGGGAGGTTCTCCATCCCCGACTTCAAGAGAGTCTGGAGATTTTGGTCATAAAGCCCACATACCTGATTTTTCCAAAAGATTCATTCATAGATGAGGTTCATCCAAGCCTGTGGAGATCGGCCATGAACGTGGTAGCAATTGGGTTCTGGAGGTTTTCAACTGCTGGGAATTTGTTTGGGCAGGTGGAAGGGATTCAACTGCCCCCCTCCAGGGTGCCCTGGATACGAGGTTTAGCCTGGTGTGGGGTCTGAAGGCATCTCTGCAGAATTTGGCTTATTTTTTAAAATAAGTACTGCTTTCAGATTTTGGGAAAGTAGAATTCATATTCACAAGAGCAACTATTGTTTTCAGATTCATATTTGAAGAGTCTTCAAAACAACTTGATGTGCTGGGATTGAACCCGGACTGGCCATGAACAAGGCAAGAGCCTTACCCACTGTACTGTTGCTCTGACCTAGGACCTAATCATTTTTAACAGATAAGACCTCAGAATAATTTTGTGTCTACATAGACTTATAAAGATCATGGTTTAAAAAGTTTCACAACCTGGGGCTGGAGCAATAGCACAGTGGGTAGGGCATTTGCCTTGCACGGGGCCAACTTGGGTTCGATTTCCAGGATCCCATATGGTCCCCTGAGCACCGCCAGGGGTAATTCCTGAGTGCAGAGCCAGGAGTAACCCCTGTGCATCGCCAGATGTGACCCAAAAAGAAAAAAAAGTTTCACAACCTAGGTATGACTCTTGCTTCTGTAACTAGTTCTATAACCTTGGGTATATCTCTATAACCTTGATCATGTTTAGAAAATTATTCCTAACAGGCAGTACAAAATAAGT